TTTCCTTCCCTCCTTCCCTTCCCTCCCTCCCTTCCCTTCCTTCCTTCCCTCCCTCCCCTCTCCTCTTTGTCTTTCTCATCTTCCTTCCTTCCTTTCTTCTATAGAATAATAGAATAACAGAGTTGGAAGGGACCTTGGAGGTCTTCTAGTCCAGCCCCCTTCTCAAGCAGGAGAACTTATACCATCTCAAATGGCTGTCCCGTCTCTTCTTAAAAGCCTCCAGTGATGGAGCAGCCACGATTTCTTGTGGGCAGCAGTTCCCCTGGTTAATTGTCCTCCCTCTTAGGAAGTTTCTCCCTTAATTCCAGGAGGTTGCTTCTCTCATTGGTTAGTTTCCATCAGTTGCTTCTTCTCCTGCCTTCTGGGGCTCTGGAGAATAGTTTGTCCCCCTCTTCTCGGGGGCAGCCCCTCAAATATTGAAAGACTGCTATCATGTCACCCCTGGTCCTTAACAGAAGTGGGAAGGGACCTTGGAAGGTCTTCTAGTCCAACCCCCTGCTTGTCCTCGGAAGTTGTGGGAGCGCCATCCCTTGAGACCTTCAAGAAGAGACTGGACTGCCATTTGTCAGAAATGGTGTAGGGTCTCCCGCTTGGGCGGTGTGGGGGTTGGACTAGATGACCTATAGGGTCCCTTCCAACTCTGATTATCTGTTACAAGCAGGAGAACCTATGCCCTTTTCAGGCAAGCGACTGTCCAGTCTCTTCTTCAAAACCTCCAGTGAAGGAGCACACACAACTTCTGGTGGCCAGCAGTTCCACTGGTTAATTGTCCTCACCCTTAGGGAGTTTCTCCTTAATTCCAGGTTGCTTCTCTCCTTGGTCAGTTTCCCTTAGTAGACGGTCTAAATACGCCATGTTCAAAACTCACCTAACAACGGCTTTGCTGGGTGGTACGCTCAATTAAAGTAATTAAAGGGGAATTTTTCTTTTTAATTATTAGAATTAATGTGGAACTTTGGGAGTAATGAAATAAGAGCATGCGATGAAATTGCAAACGTGACATACACACATATAAAGTATAACGAACATGAAGATACGAGAATTATTTAAAGTAAAAAAGAAGTAAGTTCAGATATGAATAGAAAATATATAAAATAAGTCTGAAGAATATAAGAATGTCTGAGAACAGGCGTCATACTCTAATTAGTGTACAGGAGAGGTTTTGTTTAAAGAGAAAAAATGAATGGATAGTTGAGAACAGACAAAGAATGTTAAGTATTATGACTTGAACTGAGATAAGTAGAATAAAACTAAGAGAGTTAAAAAAAGGAAGAAGCTACATAGAAAATGGAAAACGGTAATAAGATATGGAATGATATATAAAAGGAATATGATTTTTGAAGAGGTGTCTGTACGATGAGTTTTAACCCGGGATCAAGCAACTTTCAGAAAAGATGTTTATGTTTTTATGTTTTATGTCTTGTTTGTTTTTTTATTGGAAGAGAATAATGAAAATGTATAAGACAGATGGATATAAAAAATGTACACAATCTAAAGTTAAAGAGATATAATTTGAATAAATAGAAGGAAAGGAAGTAATAAAGAGAAGTTTGGGATAAGATATGAAGATGAACAGATAAGATAAATATATATATCAAATTGTGCTTGTTTGGAAATGTGATAACTTGGAATAATTCTGTCTTTAAATAAGATGTTGTATTGGCTTTTTAAGAAAAAAAAACTCTTATGTCATTATATTTTATGTTTTGTTTGTCTGTGTATTGTTTTGGAAAATCAATAAAATTTGTTCAAAAAAAAAAAGAATGTCTGAGAAAATTTGCAGAAAATACGAAATGTGATGGTATGGCATGAAATCAAACGTGAAAAGATGAATATGTCACCAAGGCCATGTTTGGATGAAAATGTGAAGACCTGGAACCATGTTGTTCACCAAAAAAGATGTTTTTGAAATGTGAAAAAAATAAAAAAAAACTTTTTTACAAAAAGAAAACCCGACTGCTTTGCTTAGCGATGGGCTCAATTGGGGTCGTAAGTCAAGGACTACCTGTGGAACTTGGATTCACGCTTATGACCCTGGCACCATCTTTGATCCTTTTGGCAACCAGACTGCCTTTATGACCTGCTCTAACCATTCTGCGGTCATGGGATTTACAGTTTCTCACCTTTTTTCCGCTGATTTCCAGCAAAACGTGGCCCCTGGTGGAGGCTGGATTCCTTAACTGGTAAGCGACTGACTTAATGGCCGTCATAAACGTCACTGAATCGGCCCCAGCTTTGATTTACGACCACAATGACTTATATGACTGAAGTCCGGGCCCAATTGCCGTTCTTAAATCTAGGGATTACCTGGTAGTGCCTTCCTCCATTTCTCGGGGGTGGGTGGGTGGGGGTGTTAGACTGGATGACCTCTAGATGCCCCTTTCCCACTTGGGATGGATTGGTTCAGCTCTGCTTTTGGATCCTGCACCCAGCCACCCAGCCCCACGGCCCCCACCTGGCATAGTCGATGGGTGTCCGGCCGTTTATGTCGGGAGCGCCCGGATCAGCTCCATACACCACCAGCAACTCAGCCTGTAGCACCTGGCCAGCTTTGGCAGCCACGTGCAAAGGTGTGGTCCCCTTCTCCTAAAAACAAAATGAAAAAGAAGCCGGTGGGAATTCTGCACATGCCCAGAAGCTCTGGACCAGGGGTGGGATTAAAGTTTCTTAGCAACCGGTTGTGTGGGCATGGCCTAATTTGTGGGTGTGGCTCGTGGTTACATGACTGGCTGGACGTGGCTTGTACGTAAATATTTATGTAAATATTTGATTTTTTATTCAAAAGAGAGCAACTTTTACCCAAAATCAGGCAAAGCAGGCAGGCAGATTGAGTTGTTCACAGAATCACAGATTCATTCAGAGATCTATCTTTCTGCCATCTGCTATCTGAGTCTGTCACATAAAATTTGCTTGCAAGTAAACTCACAAAATTAATTCACAACACACCACGTATGTACATATTGAATTTTTTATTTAAAAAAGAGCAACTTTTACCCAAAATCAGGCAAAGCAGGCAGGCAGATTGAGTTGCTCATAGAATCACAGATTCATTCAGAGATCTATCTTTCTGCCATCTGCTGCCTGAGTCTGCACTGAAAAAATAGAAGCTTCGGTCCTAAGGAAGCTTCGGCTCTGCTTTTAGATTAGCTAGAAAGCAAGAAATCCAACCGTTTCCTGCTTTCTAGCGAATCTAAATCGCCCAGCACAGCTGATAGTCAGAATAACTGATGGTTGGGGGAGAAAAAAAAAAAAAGGAAAAATAGCAAATTACCCAAAATTAGGCGAAGGCACAAAGCAGGCCAGTTGGATGGCGCGCATGCCAGGTAAGGAGTGAGTGGGCGGGGCGGGGCGGGGCCAGCCAGTGGCACGATTTGCCGGTTCTCCAAACTGCGCAGAATCATAACAACCGGATCTATAGAACTGGTCCGAATCGGTAGAATCCCACCCCTGCTCGGGACCGAGGTAGAGGATAGCTTGGACTTACCGGGTGGAAGAAGTTGGCTTGAGCCCCCAAGGAGAGAAGGCGCAGGCAAGTTTCCAGGTTTCCTGTTCGGACACTGGAATGCAGTTGCTGTCGGGATGGAAAAAGGAGATTAAGAGGGCTGAGAAGGGACTTCAACTCCCAGAATTCCCCGGCCAGCCAATTTCCCCCATCACTGGCTGGGGAACTCTGGGAGTTGAAGTCCAAAGGTCTTAAAACGTTCTTAAGGTGGAGAAACTTGGATCAAATCCCCCCATATGGCCTGGTCTGTCTGTCTATCATCACTGATCTATCCTTCTATCGCCTATCTATCATTTGTTTTAGTCTTTAAAAAACCAAAAATACAAAAATCTCCTTTCCATTAACCGTTATTGTGTCATTGTATATACATGTTTCCTGTTTTGTGACTATATATTATTTTTATCCTTATTCTTCACCCATTCGTACCACCTCTCCCATGTCGCATTGTATTCTCGATCCTCTTTGCCTTTCAGTTCTATAGTGAATTTATCTAATTCAGCAAACTCCGTTATTTTTTGAATCAAAACTTCATCTGGTGGTATTTTGTCACTCTTCCAAGGTTGTGCTAATGTGATTCTTGCTGCAGTTAAGACGTGTACAATAAGGTATCTTTTATCTTTATTCAAATTCCCTTTAATCATACCTAATTAAAAAAAAGTTTCGGGTTCCCATTTCAATTTATATTTTGTAATCTCAAAAAGCCACCTCTGTATTTTCTTCCAGTATTTTTTGACCTCTATACACTGCCACCACATATGGAAAAACGTTCCTTTCTTTTGTTTGCACTTCCAGCATTCCGGTTTCAAGGTCGGATACATTTTCGCCAGTCGTGCCGGCGCTAAGTGCCATCTACAAAACATTTTATATTGATTTTCTTTGAATGCTGTCGACAAAGTCAGCTTTCAGTTCTCGGTCCAAGTCTTCTCCCACTCATCCAAATTTATATTATGACCCACATTTCTCGCCCAGGCAATCATTGATCCCTTAACAATTTCCTCCTCTAATTCCACCTCCAGTAGGTAAATTATATGTTCGAGTTATAAATTTTATATCCTTGCCTGTCAATATTTGGTCCAATTTTTGTAATTCTTTATTTATCCTTAGCTCCTTTACATCTTTCTTAAATTTAGTTTGAATTTGCAAATATACCCACCAGTCTAATGTTATCCCTTGTTCTTTTAGTTTATCCGGTGTTTTTAATTCCCTCCGTTCATCTACCAGTTCTTTATATCTAATCTTTTTTTTTTAATGTCCCTTGTATTTGGATATAATATAGCCTCCATGGGTGAGATCCAGTTTGGTCTTTTCAAATAATACTTCTTTAAAATTTTCTCCCATGTTTGTAAAAGTGAGTCCCTTATCAAATCTCTATGGAAATAGGAGTGGATCTTATTCTTTTTATCCCATAGAAAGGCATGCCACCCAATATTGGAGGTCGTGACCTTCTATCGCCAAAATTCTTTTATTTTTAAAATTTATCCACTCCTTAACTGATCGTAAAATTGCTGCTTGATAATACGTTTCCCATTTTGGGAGTCCAAGGCTGGTTCTACTATCTTGTAACGTCTTCAATTTTATTCATGCTTTTTTCCCCATCCATATAAATTTCATTACTGTCCTATCTAATTCCTGAAAAAAATTTCTTATCCAATTTTATAGGTATTGTTTGAAAATAGTATAATAGTTTCGGTAGTATGTTCATGTTTATGACCGCTATTCGGCCTAATAGTGATAGTTGTAATTTTCCCCAATTGGCCAGGTCTCTATCTGTAAAAGTAATTTCATATAATTATCCTCTTTTATGGAAGAGCATCTTCCTGTCATGTATGTATGTATGTATGTATGTATGTATGTATGCATGTATGTATGCTTTGTTCGGCTATTTTCCCACGTCATTATAGTTGTGCTTTTAAAGTTGTAGTGACGTTTCGGCAGAATCTCATCTGCCATCATCAGGCTTCTGTATTGTGTTTGTCTATGAGTCAGGCTTTCACAGCCATTTCTGTTTTAAATTTGGTGCTAGCCTACTGCTGTGCCAGAATGGTTTTTTCTTCATCCTGATTGGTTGGGAGTCTTGGTCTGTGTTTATTGGTCTTGGAGTTTGCTGTGTTCTGCTTGATTGGTTTTTCTAATATCTTCTGTCTGTTTTGTGGCTTTTGTTGTCTTGATTGGCTGGCAACATTGTGTTCCTGTATTGGAGGCTTTTAGTGCGGCTTGGCTCCGAGTAAATGCACGGCTATCATTTGTTAGGAAGCTAGTTTCATCTGGGTGCCTGGTTGGGGTGTGTTTGAGCTGGAGGTATCG